GAGATCATACTTGATTACACAAGTCCACACATGCGAGTGTGCACGTTTAGGAAAAACACACATATATAGAGGTCAAATTTAATACAGACTGCTTAGTACGGTGTGTAACATTAGGCGTTTTGTATTTGATTTGTCCTATATATAGGACCAGGTTTAGGGAAACCGCAAAAAAAAAAATTGAAAAACCAAGGAACACCCTATTAACCATTCATTTGTATGGTATACACTGTGCATTGTGCATAAAAATAATTTATAAGTAATTTGATCGGTATGCACTTGTGCGTAATATGCATATGTGCATAGATTCTAATAACCAACTTCAATTACTTGTATACACATGACATGTAGTATAGATAAACAGTTGCCCGAGTGTTATTTTCGGGTTTTCCCCTGAGCCTCCCTATATATATATATATATATATGTGTGTGTGTGTGGGGGGGGGGTTGAGTTCCGATGAGAATGAGAGTTAAGTTGAGAAGCATAAGAAAAAAAAATTCATGTTTGAGATTAAAGGTGATTAAGGTCAAATCTCTTTCTTACGCTTCTCACTTTAACTCTCATTCTCACACGATCTTTCGCCCATATATATATATATATATATATATATATAGAGAGAGAGAGAGAGAGAGAGAGAGAGATAGGTTGGTTATTATACAACTCATGACATTTGTGCAACCAATACAACTCAATCTTAACCGTCCATTTTATTTGATTAATATGTGATGTTATAGAAATTCTGATTGTTTCCTAATATAAAATATTGATCATAATTTATGAACCATATTCATCTTCCATAAATATTCAAATTATAATAAATAAACTCTCATCATTTCCATAAATATCTCAATTTTTTGGGTTGCATTGGTTGTACAAATGCAACAGGTTGTAGTTGAAACAAACTCTCTCTCTCTCTCTCTCTCTATATATATATATATATATATATGTGTGTGTGTGTGTGTGTGTGTGTGTGTGGGAACCTTCTTTAAAACCTATGAAATTATGATAACATTGAGAACTAGTACATCATGTGTTATTTCATATGTGAACCTTTTAAGCCTATGTGTGAAACAAAAGTTATATGTAAAAGAATTCACATTGTAAACCACATACATATGAAACAAACACATTATGAAACAAATATATGTTTATCAATACATTAAATATTAGTTTTAAATGAGAAAAAAATCAAGTGAAACAATGACTTAAGATATAAGTTTTCACAGTTATCATAATTTATGGAGTTTTCAAATATATATATATATATATATATATAGAGAGAGAGAGAGAGAGAGAGAGAGAGAGAGAGAGAGAGTGATAGAGCGAGAAAGAGAGAGTCATCTTCAAATACAAACCATTCGAAGGCTATAAACCTTACAACCAAGAGTATTATGGTCTTCTTTACCAAATTTGTATTTTTAGAAATAATTAACTTTCTTAAATATTTCATATAATATCAAATAAATCAGATTTAATTTAAAAAAATATTACTTTCTTGAATATCTTATTCAATTATCATATATAGCCGACTCTTCACAATTTCTTCAACTTTTTTTTTTTCGATTAACCTGTATATCCAACCCGCTATACGAGCTGACTAATCCCAACACAACCACCTGCTTTGCAGATAGCCCGACGTCACCGCATTTGAACCTCCGTGGCCACAAGAGGATTTTTTTTCCTCCTTGAATTTAAACCTGGGACCTCCAGGTACTTTTGATATTTTGAGCCAAGCCAAACCAATCAGGCACCACCCTTGTGGTTAACCCTTTTGTTCTTATATGAAACCAAAGAAATTATTGTGTCTCATATGAAACAATAATAGTTTCATACAATATCGTTTCACTTCTGAAACACAACTTTTTAATTTTGTATATGAAACCAAAGAAATTATTAGTTCTCATATGAAACAATTACAATTTTGTTACCTATTTTTATATAAAGGTTGTTTCATAATAACATTTCATATGTAAAACCACCGTCAAATCCGTTATAAAACAATATATCAATTTTTTAAACAATTCATCAATAACATTTCACACAAACACACATACAGAGGCACACACAATACTTAATATAATGGTACAATAAATAAACCATAGTCCTAATTTATCATTCTAAACATTTAGCGGCCAGTAAAAGCATGAAACCAATAATTGAAATGGTGGGAAATGGGAAGAATGAAGCAAGAAAGTCGGCACAACTTATAAGAAATTTAATGCTAACTTCAGATGTAAAATTAATTGCTTAAGATCATTTCGATGTGTATAAAAATTGAAACCCTGGCTTCGCATAGGAATAAATATTAATATTATCTGCTGTCACCAGATCTTGAGTTTTCAACTTTGTTTCTTTGGAATCACCGTCTTTCTTTTAGATGGAGGAAGTTGGCGATATTTCACTGGAGACTCCTTTGGCTGTTATGGCAGGAGCTGGGCCCTAGGGTCTTCGCAGGATGGTCGTCCTCTGAAGTATCGTCCCATTCAATGTCGCCGTAGGGATGGTGGTGGTGGTGGTGGTGGTGGTGCAAAAGAGGAGACGACCTTTAAGGATGCATAAAAGATGAGGAGTAACATAAATATGAAATCATGGGGGAAGAGATAATCATGGAATTTGATACCGAAAATAAATAATATTCTTATTAATTATTGATAAAATTTTAAATTTTAAATATCTAATATTTCTTCCAAAACCACCCTTTCCTTGATTTGAAATTCAAAATTTCCTTTAATTCATATCAACCGTTGATTATAACAATGGATGGTCTAAAGGGTTTGTAATGGTTGCAACCTTCGAATGGTTTGCAAAAGATTTACCATCTATATATGCATTTTCTTTTGTTACTAACCTAATTTGTATGAACTTTGTTAACCCAGATATTTTCGTTTTTTTTTCATATATTGATATCGTATTTCTTAATTATCTCATTTATTTTGTTTACATTTTCTTAATTATTTTATACGTTTTCTCATTTCACTTATGAACTTTGGTAAAAAATTTGGAACAACCAATGTTCATATACGAAACAACATTGTGAACTCTAAACAAAAATCATTGTAAATAAAAATCATTGTTTCACTTATGAACTTTTTGGTTTCACTTGTGAAATTCAGTGAAAAGAATTGGAACAATTGAAGTTAATACATGAAACGACACTATGAACTTTGAACAAACACTATATAAAATATGATTATCTTCCAAAAAGAACATGATTATACTCCAAAAATAAAATAAAAATTGTACCAAAATTGCCCTTCCTTTAATTCAATTTAATTTTATTCCATTTCATCATTTTATAACATCTCATTTAATCATAACCATTAATAAAAAATGAAAGACTCAAATAAGTTTGTAATGTTAACACAATTTACTTGGTTAAGAAATTATTGTGCCCATATATATATATATATATATATATATATATGTAATTAAGTACCAATCAACTTATCAGTTAACAACTAATTTTTAAACTACCATATAACTTAATAGTCAATAATTAACTAGTTAACAATTAACTAATTTTAAGTTAACAACTAACTTATCAACTGATTTACCGAACCTTAATAAATGAAGACCACCATATATCGTCGATGAATAAATAATTCGTTACCATCAACTACTTCATGATGTATTGTGACACAAGTTTCGAACTACAAATATTGTATGTGCATTCAGAAAATAGAAAAAATATTTTAAGTTCATTTAATAGAATTTTTAAAACAAAACACTAATTTTATAGCAAAATATAAAACATAATACTATTTTTTTTATAATTACTTTATTTTAGACACCAAAATATTAGGGTTTATAAAGCGCTTGAATGAAATCTATAATTCACTCCCGTTTTAATGTCATTTCACATATAAGACGATTAATCATTTAAAAACTCTAAATTTTTTGATATTCATAAGAGTTTCTAGCTTAGGATTTTGTTTTACAATATTTTTTTTCCATCTAAGTATACAATATTTAATAATATTAATTAACAAAAATATATTTGTTTCATATGTACTCGGTTCATAATGTGTATTAATTATGTTATTCTATATATACATAAATAAGCATATATTTTGTTATGAAATTGCTAAGTTGATATACGTACTTATAATGGATTTGTTCAACAAGTTTATTTTATTAATTGAAAAAATGAACATGAAAAATAAAAATCAATTTTCCATTTCAAATTTTTTTCTTTATTTGATAATAATGAATGGTATTTTCGAGAATTCTTTTGTATTTTAGCACTTTTTTGGGGGTTTTATTTATTTATTTATTTATTAAATTATGTATATATTTAATCTAAAAAACAGATACATAATAATCTATCCAATTCAATTCACTATTTAAAAATCAAGACAAAAAAACATTGTTTGCTGAATGAATTAAAACACAATTCATTAAAGATTAATCAAAATTACACTTTTTTGTAACTATGTTGTTTCAAATTAAATAAAATAAAATTTGAAAATTTAAAAAAAATGTAGTATATTGTTTAGTTTTAAAATTATGTGATTAATGCAGATTTTTCATCTAAACAATATGTTGATGAATTATGAAAATGTTAAAATTACGTTTAGAAGTTAATTATGGTACGGTTTTTACAAATTCTTCCAATCCCATTTTGTTTAAAAAAGATATATATATAATTATCATACGTCATTTTCTGTCGGATTTATATTTTTTTAGAAGTTAGTCAGAAAACCAAAAACCAAAGTCGTTGTCAAATAATACCCAATAATTCATTTTCTAATAGCTCAAATATATAATCCAGAATAAAAATTATCATATTAAATTTACATTTTTCTGGATTTGAAAATATTAATTCATAAAAAATAATTACCTATAATTACTTATATTAATATTAATAATAATAAAAATAAAATTAAAACCCTTAATATTTGATGCATGTAAGGAGGGTCCCTCCCCCTCCCCTCCCCTCCCCCCTCCCTTTGAAATCTGTGTTTAAAAGCACAGCCAAGTTCACATCTTTCTTCCCATGCAAACTTCGTCGTCGTCAATTAACAATCCCTTTTAACTCTTTGTTCTTTCGCTCGCTGTCGATAATGTCGAGCCGGAGATCTCGTTCCAAGAAATCTGGAGAATCAATGATCACAGATACCCAAATGACCGATCTCATTTCCAAGTTACAACGACTTATTCCCAATCACACCAACAGTTCCAAGGTAGCTTCTTGATTATGTTCTTGATTTTGTATGCTTCATTTAGGTTTATGTGGCAAGTGGGATCAACCAAAAGTACAACTCCATATGCATAAAGTACAAAAACCCATTGCCAATGAGGGTTCAAAAGTGGAAGTAATTAATTAACCACTTTGAGAACTGGATGCACAATTGGTTCATGTTTATTGTGTGGTTTTCCTTTGGCTCTGGGTAGATAAGTGGTGCAATAGGGTTCACATACTATACACACACTTGCATTCAATTCTTGTGGTGCACCTAACTTAACCCAAGGAGTGTGGCTAGCCACCTTCCTCCCTCCCTTCCCTCTTGGGTGCATGTGACTCATGACATTGTTATTGGACTCATTCTTGAACCATTTATTTATATACCTTTAATTTGTGTGTGTTTTTTTGAAGACACCATGGATTTCTTTTATGTATTATAGATATTTGTATGCCTATATATATATATATATATATTAATGGCTAATAGCTTACCCAAACAAGAATGCACATATATTTGATTTTATGGTGCGTTTATCGTCTGGGAATGGGAGCTTATGATTTTATGGTGCGTTAACCACATAATTGTGATGACTCTCACGTACGCTAACTAATGATAAAACTACAAGTTTGATTATATACATGATATACTTATCTGTATGGTCGAATTCAAACGAAAACAATGACCAAATAAGAAAACAAGAGAACAGTCGAATCACATGTGATTTTACATTAAAATTACATGTGCAACCATTGATTTGTGTGACCTTGACGGCGCGTGACCTAAGCTCGTGGGACAAATCACCTGCATGCCTTTGCATTGACCGTATTCCATAATACATGTGATTTGACTATTCTCATACTTTTTTATTTTAACAATGTTCACGTTTGAACTTCCTCCCCCTCTCTCTGTGTGTGTGTGTGTATATATATATATATATATATATATATATAGGGGCATAATCAAATTTGAAACTCAAATATTGTGATAACCATAAGAACTTGTACTTTAAGATATTGTTTCACATGTTTTTTTACATCTAATGCTAGAACCTAAGGTATTGATATATCAATATATAGTTGTCTTATAATTAATGCGCTTGTTTTACATACTTTTTTCACAATGTGAAAACTTTTACATGTATTTTAGTAAAAACAAACTTATAAAAAAGTTTCACACTGTGAAAGAAATAAATATGAAATAAGCTCACTGTGGAACAAATATATATCAATCAATACTTTAAATTTTAACCTTAAATTAATTTTTATGTGAAATAACATATGATGCACCGGTTCGTACGATTATCACAATATTTATGGTCCTCGCTCACTTAATTAGCCTCATACATACATATATGTATGTATATATAAAATTAAAAAATCTATAAGCCACATTTTGAAGATTACTATGTATATTTTGAATTTAAAGATCAATTACTATTACATATGTATATTTCTTCAAAAAAAAGAATTAATTATTTTAAAATTTGGATTAAATTTAAATAGATGAAATAATTAGGGGGATTTGAGTGCAGGTTTCAGCTTCAAAGGTATTGCAAGAGACATGCAATTACATTCGGAGTTTACACAGAGAAGTTGATGACTTGAGTGAAAAACTATCAGAGCTTTTGGAATCCACAGACGCCAACAGTGCTCAAGCAGCCATTATTAGGAGCTTAATTGTGTAACTCTAATTACATTACTTAATTAATTAATTAAGTAATTAATAATTCTTTCACCCTTTTCAATCAAAAAAAATTATGTATTAGTATTACTTAATCTCAATTAAAGTATATGCATGCATTTCTTCTTAATTTCTTTCTAGCTATATATATAGCCTTTCTTAATTATCACCATATGTATTACTTCCATCATTTTCGACATAATATAAATAATATTATAGATCTTTTTCTATTAATGTGGCATGTAATATTTATTTTTTTCCCTTTAATATGGCATGTAATAGTTAATTCGTTATTCATTTTAATACACACACACACACATATATACATATATATATATATAGGATTGGGTTCACGTGAGACCAAGAGTTTTTCGTGAGACCCATAAGACCAATTTATGTTCATTGATCAACTTTATAAGCTAATGATCTAATGGTCTAAAGTTGCACGGTGGCAATTTTGTGAATATTGAGAAGTCTCGTGACAATTTTGTAATTATGAATGTTCAGATTGTAGATCTAATCCAAGGGTTGAGAATTGGTCTTATGGATCTTTTGAAAAAC